GCTTATTAGGGGGGCATTTAATATTGAACAAGGCAGATGTGAAACTAGGCCCTGATAGCTCACGCCTATAATCCCAGCTACTAGTGAGTCTGAGATCAGTAGGATCATAGTTGGTGGCCAGTCTCAACAAGTAGTTTGAGAGACCCCATCTCCAAAATAACCAGAGTAAAATGGATTGGAGGCGTGGCTCAAGTAGTAGAGCACATGCATTGCAAGTGCAAACCCTAAGTTCAAGCCCCAGTCTCACTAAAAAAGGATAAAAATAGTGTCTTAATATACACTGCACATGTTACTGAAAAGTTGTGTATAAACATATTTTTTATTCTTAGTAAGACTTGAATGACTATGATATATTTTTAGGATTCCTTTATTTTTTATTTCTGATTGATTTTTTATTGAAAGAAGTACCTAAAATTTTCACGTGAGGATTTCTCTGTGTTTTTCCTCTCATTCACTTAAGGTCATTTGTATATCCTAATCCATGCTTATTTATTAGAATGTTTAAAATTTCCTTTATAATGTGGGAAGTGCCCCTGTTCTCTAACTCCTCAATTTAAACTCTGAAAAATCTAAATTTCTGTAATAGCAATAAAAAAAATCAGCAGGAATTCATTTATTTATTTATTTCAAGATACTGGGGATTGAACTCAGGGAGGTCCTTGAGCTGTAGGCAAGTGCTCTACTTCTCAATCCACAATCTCATTCCAGCAAATGCTTATTGAGCATTTATTTTAATACAAGGCTTTGCTCTAGCCTAAGCACATCATGTATTCATTTATTTAAACTTCACACTAAACAAAATAAATGATATTATTCTTCCATTTTCTAGATGAAGAGACTGAGGCACAGGGAGAATAAGCAACTTTTCCACAGTCACCCAATCAGTAAGTGACAGAACCCTGTACTTCAGGGTTTGCTATATGAGCTTCAGAAACGTAATTTAGTCAGATTCCTAAGACTTTATGCTTACTTGTTTAGAATTCACTAAATCAGTTATGTATTCAAAACTACCAATTGTGTTCTCACCCATTGGCAACCCCCCTATTCTCTCAAGAAACAGAAGTGAGCAAGGTACACAAAAGTCTTGCACTCAGGGAACTTTCATTCTGGTCAGTGAGTAAGGCTCTAAACACACAAGTAATAAACAAGCAAATATCTGTTATGAAGTAGTGATATGTTTGATGAAGAAAGGTAAACCAAGGGGAAAGCCCCCACCCCTTATAGTGAAAGTGATAGCAAAGTTAATCATGAAAAGAATGCACTTTTAATACACTGCAAGTGACTTGTCTGCAGGGTGAGAATGACAAAGGGACAAAGGTCCTCTTTTTTTGGGGGGGGTGGGCTTCTGTTTGAATTCAGGGCTTCACACTTGCAAAGGAGAAATGCTACAACTTCAATCCATTTTGCTCTGGTTATTTTGGAGATAGTATCTCTCAAACTATTGGCCTAGGCTGGCCTTGAGCCTCTATCCTTCTGATCTCAGTCTCCTAAATAGCTAGGATAAGATGAATGTTCTCTGTTTGATAGGTTGATACAGAAAGGTTCTTCAAGAGTATCTGAATGAAGTCGGGGACAAAGCCATGTGCAGGTGTGGTTGAGAAGCATTTCAAGTAGAGGAATAGCAAGTGCAATGGCTATGCGGCAGAGATGAGCTTATGGCTTTCAGGGAACAGTAAGAAGAGAAGTGTAAGCAGCTGGGAAAGTGGTAGAAAATGAAGTTGGAGACATAGCCTGGAAGCAGGAGGCTATGAATAAAAAGTTGAAATTGTATTGAGGGTGATAGGAAGCTGTACAAAAGTTTTGAAGAAGCTGATTTATGGTTTGAAAAGGTAACTCACCCTGGATATTGTGTGAATTTAATCAGAGTCCTAGGCCAGGGGCCCAGTCCTGGGGGTTCCATCATGTCATGTCTGCCTACTTGCCCCAAAATACTAACTAAAAAGATGAGTAGTGTTGAAGGGCAGTAAAAGAAGACTTAAGTAACCCAACAGCCCCATGTAAGAATAGGGCAGAAAGCATTTATGCCCATTTTCAGGGTGCTGCCATGTGTGTTAGGTTTAAATACAAGAAGAATTGGCATGAAGGGCAAGAGATGTGCATAATTAAGTAGTCCCAAGCAAATTGTGATCTTGTTGATCATTATCTCAGTTCTAGTTCTTCAAGAGGTTCTACAGAAATTCTTATGACTGTCATCACTTTCACTTGAGGGAAGCAATCTGGTCCCCATGAGATGACTGGTTTTGGTCCAGTGTGTGGCCTCATCATCACAGGTAACTGTCCTTATTTGGGGAGTGGTCTGTCACACAATGTTCTTCTTTCCTTGGGAGTAGTTCCAGTCCCTTGACATAAAGATGTTACTGATCAGTCTTGTTCTTCCTGGAATCCAAGGTGACTGCAGGAGAGAATGGCTCAGAGTAGAGAACACAGATACAAAATGGAGGCAGGGATGACAAGTTCTTCTCTTGCTTTCAGTTACTTTGTAGACCCAAATAAGGAGTCAGTGCGAGAAGCTGGTGTCTCAAGCTCACCTACTCAGATGTGGAAGGCTAAGAGAAAAGATTTTGAGGGTTTCAAGTCAAGGCCTTATACTTGCAAGGCAGGTGCTCTTACCCTTGAGTCATTCTGCCAGCCTCTTTTTGATTTACGTATTTTCGAGATAGGGTCTCAAGAACTATTTTTCCAGCATTGGCTTCAATCCTCCTGAGTAGCTATGATTATGGGTGTAATCAACAACCAGCTAGAAGGGATTTTTTTTTAAAAGAATGAAACAGCTCTACTATATACACATAAAATTTGAGGTTCTTTTATTTACTTATTTATTTGGCAGTACTCATGTCTCACACTTGCTAGTCAGGCACTCTACCACTTGAGTTACACTGCCAGCCTTTTTTGCCGAAGATAATTTTTTCCACATTTATGCCTGGCCTGGTCTGGATCACGATTATAGTGTCTATGCTTCCTGTATATATAGATTGACAGGTGTAGTACTACACTCAGTTTTTTTTTACTGATGGATATGGCATTTGGTGAACTTTGTGCTTGGGATGCTCTATTACTGCAATCCTCCTGATCTGGGACTCCCAGGTAGCTAGAATTACAGGTGTTAGCTACCACATCCACTTCTGAGATTCATTTTAAACATCCAGGAAGGGACTTTGAGAGGGCAATTGGAATAGAAATCTAGAACTTCAGTGGGATTATTAGAACTGAAGATAAAAGCTTGGAAGTTATCAATGTCTATATGTGTTAAAAGCTGGGGACTTAATAGGACCATCTGGAGGTGAATATAAATAGAAGAGTGTCCAGGACTCAATGATGTATTCTTAATATTGTGTATTCGTTAGGATCTATTTTCTCCTCACAAATAATCTTCCATTGAAGATCATTGTCTAGATTTGTTAATTCATTATTGTTTAAAACTGGTGGTAAGCTGCTGGGTTTGGTAGCTCACTTCTGAAATCCTTGCTACTTATGAGGCTGAGAGTGGGAGTATCCAGATTCAAGGCCATCTTGGGCAAAAAGTTCACAAGAGCCATCTCTTTCAATGGCTGGTCACTTTGTCATCCCAACTATGCAGGGAAGCACAAATGGGTGGATTGTGTTCCAGACCAGCCAGGGTGTAGAGAGACACTATTTCAGAGAAAATCAACACAAAAAAAAGGCTAATGGAGTTGCCCAAGTTGTGAAGTGTCTTGTATCTGCCTAACAAACAGTCCAACCTCTGTACTGACAAACAAAAAGTGGTGGTAATCTAATTCTATCATTCTTTCTTCAATATATTAGCTGGCGAAAAGAGAAATTTCAGTTGTTTAACCCAGGAAACCATTTCCTTTATCCTCAAATAATGATCCAAGGAGGTGTTTCTGGTAAATATCCTGGACATTTTTCTTTTAGCATTGTCAGACCATATCTCTTTTTTTGTGATTTTTGTATTCCTCTGGGTCTCTGGAATCTTCCCTATGAAGTTGGTGAATGAAGAAAGAGAATGGAGGATCATATGGGACAGGATTTTATAGACCAGACCAGGGAGTGGCCTTTTACTGCCTATATTCAATTGGCTGGAACAGTCACATGGCTGTACCTAACTGCAAGGGAGGCTGGGAGATGTAGTCCGATTATATTCTCAGGAGGGAAACAGAAAACCTTTGGCAAATAGTTGATCACTCTTTGGCCATATGGCCACAAACTAGTAAATGCACAATTATACAAGTTATAACTTGTGATTAATTCTATAAAATAAATAGTATGCATGGGTGAGAATAATGAGGCAGGGGTAAGGGATTTATTTCAACAAAGTCTTTTTTTCTGAGGAAGTATTTAAGCACAGACCTAAAAAACAGGAAGGCAAACAATGGTGGGAGGAGGGACAGTCTCAGCATGTACAAGGGCTCTGAGGTAGGAAAGAACAAAGGGAATCCACGGACCCAAAAGAAGCTCACTGTGGCTGAGCCCACTGGGCTCACTAGAGAAGTCTGGAGAAGTAGGTAAGTGTCATAGGACACAGCACTCCATAGAACATATGAAATATTTAATCCTAATAGCAATGGAAAGATATGATGTGACTAGTGTTTCTAATAGGACATTAATGACCTACTCTCAGGGGATGTTCCAATTTCTCTCACATTCCTCAGCCAAGTGTGCAAGTAAGATCAGAAATGTCAGAGTTACAAAAGAGGTACTAAAACCCAGTCATGTGGTACTGGAGAGTAGCCTAGCATTTGAGGTCCTATGTCAGAGATCCAGCACCAAATAAATAAACAAACCCCTCAGTTCTGTGGATCCTAACTCTTCTGCCTATCTTAAAGCTATATATTGTATGTGCTCAAATTGAAGAGGGAAGGAACCTGTTGAGACTGGGAAGATCCCTACAGAAAAAGTCTCCAATGTTTGAGTTCCCCTATGACTTGAGAGACTGAGCACAGGTACTTTACTTTACCTCAGACTTTACTAAGACCGTATGGAGAGTTTGGCTTGTGTCCTCTGGATTCCATGGGTCACAGACATACTTGGAAAATTGATTACTGGCATCAGAGTAAGGGACATGGGAAGTAACTGTAATCTTTCATCAGTAGCTCACAGATGAAATACTTGGTGAGACTACTTACCTGGGTATAGAGTCCCTGCTTATGAGGCCTTCTGCCAAGGGACAAACTTGCAGAAAGAAGCTGAAGATGAACCCTCAGATCCAGCAGCTGAAGGAGGGGTTAGGGTTGGGTATAGAAGTGTTCAGTAACGGTAGGCTCTTGTTCACTTTCATGGAGCTATGGTCAGAAGAACCCACACAGAACTATCCACAGGGATTCTAAAAATGACCCTGAGGAGCTGAGCCTGAATCCCAGCACTCAGGAGGCTGAGGCAGGAATATTGAGAATTCAAAGCCTGGCTAAATATTGAGACTCTGTCTCAAACAATAACAAAACCGACCCTAAGAACTATCTTACATCTATGTCTGTAGCACAAGAACATTGGAGTCCTTTATCTCTGTCCCTTCCTGCACCAAAGGTCAGCTGAGGGAATGGAGTAGAGGAGGGCCAGGAGGGAGGAGTTGACCCCCACCACAAAGATGCCAGGACAAGTAAGTCTGGGTGATGGTGGGGAAGCAACATCAATTGTAATGAAGTACAGAGATTTGACTTGCACCCTGGATTGGCCATTTCTCTGATTCAAATCCAACTGCTTTGTGACTGACAGAGGGTGTTATGAGTTGAGAACACCAAACAAGACAAGGAACTCACCAGGGGTTTGGAAAGAACCAGTTCTGTAGAGCTGATTTAAACAAGTTGTTGAGAAAACAAAAGAATAAAATTATTTTTGTTTGTGAGAGAGTTTCTGATTGTGTATAAATTATCTGTTTTACGCATTCCCATGAGCTACGGTGTGGAAGTCAGATTAGACAGTGGCCCCTGTGAAATGCTGAAGGCCAGTTGCTCTACTTCTTCACTGTATTAGCCTTTTCATGGATTGCTGTGACAAAATACTTTACATAAATAGTTTAAAGGAGGAAAAATTTATTCTGGCTCATGGTTTCAGAGGATTCAGTCCATGGTTGGTCAGTTCCATTGTTAGTGGGCCATGGTGAGGCAGAATGTCATGGAGGGAGAGTGCATTGGAGCAAAGTTGTTCACCTCATGGCAGTTGGGAAGGAGGGGAGAGAGAGAGAGAGAGAGAGAGAGAGAGAGAAACACATTCATTTCAGGGCAGGTCTTCCACCCTTTTAATCCTCTCTGGAAATGCCCTCCCAGACACACCAGAACTGTACTTTGCTTATCTCCTAGGTGATTCTCAATCCAATCAAGTTGAGAATCAAGATTAAGCATCATACTAGCTGTGTGACTTTGAGCAAGTAACTGAACCTCTCTGTGCATTAATTTCTTCACCTTAAAGTGGTACCATACAACTTTTTCAAAGGAAGAAATCCAAATGGTCAAAAAATACATGAAAAAATGCTCACCATCCCTGGCCATAAAGAAAATACAAATCAAAACCACACTAAGACTCCACCTCACTCCTGTTAGAATAGTTAACATCAAGGACACCACCACCAACAAATGTTGGTGAGGATAAAAATGATAAAAGAAAAAAATAAAGTGGTACTGTAGTAGAATGACATACAGGATTATTAAGAGGAATACATGTGCCAATCCACATATAAAGGATACCTGACCCATAGCTAGCATTATGAGGTTTTTCTTACTGTTTTTATTTTGAAAACTACTATTGTAGCAGTACAAATATGACTCATGGTTGGGTTAGATTACTGTTAACCAAGGAATGTGAAAAAATTCATGATATATTTTATTTTGTTGGTATCAAGGTTTGAAATGAGAACCTCTTGCTTGCTAGGCAGATGCTCTACCAGTTAAGCCATGCTCCCTTCTGTGTTGTTATATTTTAGAATCACAGTGAGCTGAATCTTGCAAGGAATGAGAAGATGTGGAGACTGAGAGCAAGGACAAGGATTGTTCTCAGTGTTTTCACTCGAATGCCTGGAAAGAATTGAGAATGAGGACAGGAATTGCATGTAGGCTACATAGAGATTTCTGGCTATGGAGACATTAGAACGTCTTTGTTTTAATAACATTGGAAGGGCTGAGTGTTACAGGAACAGTTTTTTGAGAATTAGAGTGCTCTAAAACAAAGCCACCTTTCTGATCTGTTGCTTCAGTATTTTAGAAAATTGGGGTCAACTATCCTTCCTTTTTCTCTACTACCCTCCCTTTCTCTTCTTTTTTTACTTTTCCTTCCTTCATCCCTCCCTCCCTCCTCTTCCCTCCCTCCTTCCCTCTCTCTCTTTCTCTTTCTTTCTTTCTTTCTTTCTTTCACAGGGTCTCACTGTATACCCAAGTCTTGGCTTCAAACTTGCCATCTTCCTGCCTCTATCTCCCACACCACCACATCAAGCATGATAATACAGTCTTTCTTTCACAAACCAAGGATGACTTCAAGAGACAATGAATCCTTGAATAATAAACATTGTCAGGAAAAGTGGCATAATATAAACAAATCTAAAAGTAATGTCCTCTTTGATAGATTCTCTCCAAATTTTTTCTTCTCTCTCTCTCTTTGTCTCATTCTGGAGGTTGAACCCAGAGCATGGAACATGCTAATATTTTGCCACTGAGCTACACCTTACTAATCTCCTGTCCAAAATCTAAATGTTAGACATCTAATAAACTTAAATGAATTGTAGACATGTAATATTTTGGTCCTTGTAGTCTTAAGTGCCTTGAATGGGTTGCCACTTACCTTTGTTGTAGTAGATTGCTCTTTGTGGCCAGATCTGTTATGTATAAGTGTACCTGAAAATACACTGTAAAGATGCAGGAACCTTTTGTTCATTGCTATTAACTCCCTGTTTCCTTCCCTGTCCTCAGGGATAAGATCAGTTTTGAGAGCCAGAATTTGTTTGGTCTGAGTCCTTGACAAAAGCTGGCTGTCTTTATTACCCTACCTGGCTTGTTAGGAGTTGGAAGACCCTTTATAGCAGACACCGCCACAGACCAACGAATAATGGCTGGGGGCCATTTTTAGTCTCAGCCTTTGAGTGTTGTAGAAACTATGAAAGTGTCTCAAAGAACTCTTTGTAGGTCTGCATATTTCTTCCTCATCAGACCTTTCCTCCCAGTACTCTTTCTCTTTTCTTCTCAGTGGTACTTGGGTTTGAACTCAGGGTCTCAAGTTTGCTAGGCAGGATCTCTATCACTTGAACCACTCTTGCCAGCTCTTTTTGTGTTGATTGTTTTTTTCTGAGCTAGGGTCTGGCTTTATACTTATGTTGGCCTGGATTGGATTTCTCCTGTTTGTAATTCCCTGAGGTAGCTGACATAACAGACATGTACCACCCTGCCCAGCCATTAATTGAGATGGGGTGTTGTGATTTTTTCCCAACCTGGTCTTCAACTGTGTTCCTCCTAATCTCTGCTTCTCAAGTAGCTAGGATTGCAGGCATAAACCAGTGCACATGGATTAGTTGTTTTTCTTGACAATCTTCCACATGGAGAAGCGGGGTTCTTCAGGGCTCTGTGAAATAGGGAAAAGCAGGGCATGCCTGGAGATCTCCATGTCTGGCCACACTAGCCACCAGAGCTGGGACTTCTTCCTGATGGAGCAGTTCCTTTAGGTGCAAATAATGAAATTTCTCGCTGCTTAGTGACAGATATTTGGTTTGGCATGTCACACTTACTTTTGGCAGTCTCACAAATAGGTAAAGTTAACCCATCTGATCCAGAAAGAAGAAAATAAAATCAAATGTTAAATTTCTCCACTAATTACTTATAGCTGACAGGTAGGATAGAAGAGAAGGCCATGGAGTGCAAATAGTGACTATCACAGTTAATAGAGAAACATTTTGAAATCCATACAGGTGTAGTTCAGGAAGTTAAAGTGCTTAAAATCAAATGTTTAATGTAATTCTATCTTATTTTTTATATCCATAGCCATGGTGATTAATTATTACTTGCTTTGAAAATTTCCAAAGCCAACATCATCTTAGTCATGACTGTATGGTAGTTTGGGAATCTATTAGATATTCTTGTGTGTGCAAGTGAGAAGTTGGAATTTCCAGATAGGATCTTTTGGTTTTGCCTAGGGATGGGCTAGGACCATGAACCTTCTATCAATGTCTCCCAAGTGGCTGGGATTAGAGGTGTGCATTACAGTGCCTAGTCATTGGTTAAAATGGTAGGGGGAGGATAGGCTTATGAACTTTTTGCCCTGGCTGGCCTGGAACGACAATCATCTTGATTTCTGTTTCTAGGTTAGCTGGGATTACAGGTGTGTGCCACCACATCCAGCTTGATTTTTCAATTTAAAAAACATTAACTAGCAGGGATCCAGTGGCTGACACCTATAATCCTAGCTACTCAGGAGGCAGAGATCAGGAGGATCATGTTTTGAAACCAACCTGGGCAAATTATTTCTGAGACCCTATCTTGAAAAAAATCCATCACAAAAAAGGCCAGGGGAGTGGGTCAAGGTGTAGGCCCTAGGTTCAAACCCCAGCACCTCAACAGAAAAATAATTTATTCCCTATGGTAAAAATAAGGATTTAGCTACTCCCCTCCAGTTTTTTGTAGTTATTACTATAATTTTAGTCCTGATTGCACTTATAGTTCTAAATAATATACTTAAAGCTCTAGGTTTTGTCCCATCAGTCATATGTACTTCTTCACTCCTAATCTATGTTTATTCATTCACCCATTATTTATGGAGTAATACTATGGTGCCAGGTCTGTTCTAAGTATTCAGTAAGTAAAATTGAGATCCCAGAATCATTGGCACATTCTAGCACATGGGCGTTCATAAGTGTAAGTTATATTGACATTGTTAAGTTCAATGTTAAACAAAGGAGAACAGGAGTCAGAAGTAACAACTTTGACTTGATGGTCAGGTGTGGCCTAATCAGAGGGTGATGTTTAAGCAAAACCTAAAATTCAAGGGTAGTGCTATCCAGATGAACATCTTCACTAAGAGTTCCAAGCAGAGGGAGCTGCAAGGACCCAAGGAAGAAGTGTGCCTGGTCTATGGCAGCAT